AGAGGACCAGTGTTCCCAGCACCCACACGGGGCAGCTCACAACCTCCTGAAACTCCAGCTCCAGATTCAATGCCCTCTTCAGGCCTCCGCAGATACCTGCAAGAACCATAGAATAGGATGGAGTAAAAAGGACTAGTATGCAGGCTGGCCTGATCCCTCAACCCCAAGGCCCTCATTCCTGTCTCCGTCTGACTCAATAAGGAAGGTGGTTCCTGGAGCTTAGCAAGGGGCACTCTGCCCAAGTCTCTTTGGCTATAGCACTTAACCTCGATAGGCTGCCCTGATACAGGGGTTCAGGAATGCTTCCGCGAACCTCACTTTCTTCTCCTGTGAGATGGCAATGATGAGGACAGTAATGGGGAGGTGTCCCTCACAGACTGGTGAGCATCAAGTGTCATATCTGTGTCAGAAGAGACCTGCTCTGATCGCCACAGGTCTCCTCCAGCCACAGGATGCCTGGAAGCTCTCCCGCCTTTTGATGGGAGCTCTCATATCCCTGGCGTGAGCGCATTTTAGTGGGCAGGTTTTGGGCCAACCTCCAACTTCAAGTAGCCTCTGAGAGCCGCTACTCAATTACCCTTAATCTCCTTGATGAGGTGGAGCCCAGCCAGCCATTGCAGGCCCTAAACCAAGTTCCCAAGCCCTGGTCACAGATTACCCTGCCCCAGCCCTTCCTGTGGCCATCTAGCTCCAGACGGTTGGGTAGTGGCATGGACAGCCCAGGACGATGTGTCCTTCCTACCCCACTGTCTCCTGGGGTGGGGTTGGTGATCAGATCCACAGTGTGGAAGGACGATTCTGAATCTCAGAGACCTGGCTTGAAACTCCACCATTAGCATTTGGCTGGAGGCCTGGAAGGCCCTTCTTAAATCTGCCGTCTCTTCTAGGTGCCCCTGTGAGTCAAGAGCCACTTTCTGGAGGAGGGGGTTTCCTTAGATCTGAGGGACCCGGCAGATCTCTGGAAGGAGCAGATCTGCACAGCGGGAATGCAAGGCAGAGGGCACAGAGTGCTGCCAACTGAGCAGGCTGGGCAATCATCCCAAAGCCAGCAGAGGGTGCTCCTCCCAGCTGGAGCTCGGGCTGAAGCTCTCACTGTAGGAACACCAAGAAGAGGTTCCCTATGACAAGTCACATGCATGGGCACACAGCATGGCACACACTGAAGCAAACAGGGAATCCTTCCTGGGTGGCCACGATGCCACAGTCATCAGATACAGAGAGACGAGGCCGGGTCTTGCTTGAGTGTAGACTCTACCTTTCTGCAGATTTTCTGATGTCACATGATCACAGATGTCCTCCATGTGTTGGTCCTGGAGCTGATAAGAGGACCAAGTAGGACTGAGCCCTAAGACTGGAGGGAAGGCAGATGTCTAATCCTGGCCTTGGGACAGTCTGTTACCGCCTACACTAGTACTGGAAAGCCAGCGGACAGGAAGGGTGCCTGAAGGTTGCCCTCAGTGTTACAGGGAGATAGGTGGGCATGCTGGGAGAGAAGCAGTGTGTGTGTGTGTGTGTGTGTGTGTGTGTGTGTGTGTGTGTGTGCGTGCGCGCGCGCGCGCGCGCGCGCGTGTGTTTAACCCACTTTGGTTTCAAGCAGTTACTGCCATAAGGTGTCACTAAAGGCCCAGACAAGTTGACTGACTTGCCCAAGGTCACACAGGCTTTCTAAAGTCCCATTCTTGAGTCTTTCCCACTGGACATAGAATGGATCTGCTGTGCTTCTGACGCTGGATGGGAGAGTCACAGGCAAGTTCAGACGAACCTTAACAACCTTGCTCAGGGACAGGATGGGAAGATAACCACTGGGACCCAACCTGGAAGTGGAAGGGTGTGTCCAATGACATCAGTGACGAGAAAGAGGAGTGCTTAGTGGGGACAAGAGGGACAAGGCCCAGTTCCCAGACACCATGAAGCTCTGTCCAGAAAGGAGCAGTTCACCCCATGTGCCTGAGGCCTTCCCAAGTGGCTGTGGGTGACCCTTGTACCCACAATTATCTCTCCAGCCCCTAGAGGATGTCACTTCAGACACTGGTCTGACCAACTGGTCAGATCCTCCACTGGCCCCAGTGACGGTTCTTTTCCACAAAGGCACGAACAGCTCTTGACACGGCCAGGCCTCACAGTTGTGTCTACCCAGGGGTCTCTGCTTTCCTCTGCGGCTCTCCGGGGCCCAGTCCATCAATATCTGTCCAATGCCAGTTGGAGAAAGGCCTTGGCAGCATGGTAGCCCAGGATTGCCCACCCCTGAAGCAAGAGTTACCCTGTTTTCTCATGAGTAGTGAGGGACTTCTCTAACACAGACTGAACCCAGGGACCATGTGGTCCCCTCCTCCTCTTCAGAAGTGCCTAACCTCCTGCCTAGCTCCGTGTACCCTTCAAGACTCAACCCAGGAAGTCACTCTACCTCTCACCCATGTCCAGAATAGGTTAGACATGTTCCCTTTGTTCACCGCAGCACCTCTGACCCTTGATAGCACCGCTGGTGACCAAAGATGTAATACCACCTGTGTGTCCACCTCTGCCACAAGACGAGCTTCTAGCTGTATACACCGAAGGGTTAGCACGTTATCACTGGTCCCCATGCTTTGCTCTGCAGTGTATGGGGGATTTCCTAGACGTCCCAATTTGGGGTAGAGTGGTAGGCCTACCTTGACTACCTTGACTCATAGATCTTTAGAAACAGTCCCCAAAAAAGTTGATCTTAGGGATGAATTCTCTAACCACATGTCTAGTACTATACAGCTTCATAGAGCAGGGGGAAGGATGTGAGCCCAGAGGCAAGAAAACTAAGCAGGTTCCCATCCTTACAGTCTGTCTCCTCCACACACCTGGCTTGGCCAGGGGCCCATGTCTAGATGGAGTTGATGACATCTCCATGTAGCCTAGGCTTAGCAGCTGCAGAAGTGATCATGGAGTTCATGGAGATCTCCTCTAGGACTCAGATATGGGAGCTGGAGATGAAGGGGGAGGCAAGAATAGAGGACACACCTCTGGTTGTATCTGGTCAGAGGGCTTATTGACCAGAGAATCTCCTGGTGATGGTTAGTCCTCATTGTCAACTTGTCTGGGTATGAAATCACTTAGGAGACACACCTCTGAGTGTGTCAGTGAAAGCATTTCCAGAGAGGTTTAATGCAGGTGGCACTGTCCGGTGGATGGGGGTCTCAGACTGAATTAAAACAGAAAAAAGAGAAATCAAATAGAGCACCAGAATCCATCCCTTTTCCCGCTGCTGCCTGTGCGAACCCTGTGACCTGCTGCTGCACATGCTCCTGTGACGCAACCAGAGTTCCTCCTGCAGCACTCCTGCCCCTCAAATAATGAAACAGGACAAGCTCTGCCTTCCTCAAGTTGCTTCTGTCAGAGCTGTTGAGCTCAGGAATGTGCTTTGGCTGGTCTTGCCTACTTCCTGGCTCTCTGGGGTGTCTGAGTGTGCCCCCATGCCCTTGTCCCAGCGTCAAATGGATAGCGACCTGCAGACTTTGTTCAAATCTCTTAGGCACTTTAGGAAGTTCAGGCCTTAAATTCAAAAGAGTTTTAATCAGTCCAAGCTAATATAGCAAAATGCCATGGGTCAAGCTTCCTAACCAAAGACCATCTCCCAGTTTGGGGGCAGGGACAGGGCCCATTCCTGAGTCATATAAAAGTTGTCTTTCATTTGTGCTCACATTGCAAAAGGGTCAAGAGAATTCTCTAGGGTTTCTTTTTTTAACATTCAGTGTGTGTGCACGTGCATGTGTGCATGTGTGTGTGTGCGCGTGTGTGTGTCTGTGTTCAGGCATTTGAACACATGCATGATACAGCCCATGAGGTCAGAAGACAAATGGCAGGAGTTGGTTCTCACTTTCCACCATGTGGGACCCAGGAGGAATCAGGTCATCAGGCTCTGTGACAATTACCTTTACCCACTCAGCCATCTTGCCAGCCCTGGGATTTCAAGCAGGTGCTGGCCACATTCATGAAGGCCCATGTGTAGAACTCCCAAGACCCAGTCACCTTTCAAAGGCCGCACCTTCTGATGCCATCACATTAGGGCTTAGCAATTTTTAAATTTTTATTTTTAATCATGTGTGTGTGTGTGTGTGTGTGTGTGTGTGTGTGTGTGTGTGTGTGTGTATGTATGTATGTCTGCCTAGGGTTTATGCATGTGAGTGTGTGTTCTGCACAGAAGAGAGCACAGGATCTCCTGGAGCTGGAATCATGGGCAGTTGTGAAACATTTGATGAAGGTACTAGGAGTAGAACTCGGGTCCTCTGCAGGAACAGTCTCTTCACCGCTAAGCTATCTCTCCAGTGCCAGGATTAGCATTTTAAAATACGAATTTTGTAGGGGACACAAACTTCTAGTCTACCCCAAATGAGGCACTGGCTTGCTTCCTGGCCCTCTTCGGCTCTGACAGAAAGAAGTGACACTAAGTACCCAGAAGCCGTGTGAGGCGATCTGCTGTGTTCCAGGCACAGAGCAGCTGATCTGTCAACACACAGAGCAAGTACAAGTTCATCAACCCAGAGTCTCCACCCAAGGAGCCCGATAGGTAGGAACTGTTCTCACCTTCTTGAGAGAAGGGAACTTACCAAACAGAAAGAGGAAGGGATAGGAAACAGGAATTACCCCAGAACTTGTAAACAGACTGAATTTGCTTTTTCCTTTTTTATTATTATTATTATTATTATTATTATTATTATTATTATTATTATTATTGGTGGTGGTGGTGGTGGTTTCTTTTAAGACAGGGTTTCTCTGTGTAGCCATGGCTGTTCTGGAACTCACTCTGTAGACCAGGCTGGCCCCAAATTCAGAGAGTTCCCTGCCTCTGCCCCAGAGCACTGGAATTAAAGGTCACCACACCCAGTTTCAGATTGAATTAACAAAAATTCTGCTCTTAGAAAGTATTCCAGGCCTAGAGGCTTTATCTGGACAATTTTAATTCACACACACACACACACACACACACACACACACACACACACACACACACAAAAGGAAAAAAAGAAGAAAAAGAAAAGGAAGAAAGAAATTTATGCTAGGAAAGGGGGGAAATATTTCTAAGTCATTTTGTGGAGCCAGTAAAACATAAACCTCCACTTCTCCCATCTGCACAGCGGGGAAAATAACAGGTTGGCAGGGTGGCATCGGCCTTGTGTGTTTGGCATTTAACATGACTCCTATGTGTTCCGCATGTAATAGTTGTTTCTACACGGCCAGGCTGGGGTTCAGGCTGAAGCTGTGTCTCACTGAACCAGGCATCTAGAATGGCATGCCTAGGATGAAGAAGAGGAAGAAAAAGTCAACTGTGGTCCTTGAATAGGGTTCCCAACTCCTAGCGGTCACCTGGCAGACTGGATCTCATTGGACCCTCACAAAGGCCCTTCAAGGCAGCTGCAGCCATGCAGTTTTGCAGACAGGAAAACCAAAGCTCTGAGAACCTGGGACTGACTGTGTTAAGTCACAACCAGGACCATCAGAAGACAAAGCTCAAGGTTCTCTGCATTTGCTCATTAGGCAGGAGCAAGGACTAACCAAGTCACAGCCGTGGAATGCTTGACCTCAGACCATGCTGGCTTTATTTTTTTTCTTTCCTTTTTTAAAAAAATAATTTATGAATTTATTTTACATCCCGACCACAGCCTCCCCTCCCTCCTCTTCTCCTACATTCTCTCTCCTCCCCCCACCCCACTACCCAATCCACCCCTCCTCAGTATTAGCTCAGAAAGGGCCAGGCCTCCCATGGGCATCAGCAAAGCACGGCATATCAAGCTGCCATAATACCAAGCACCTACCCCTGTATTCAGGCTGGGCAAAGCAATCCAGCATGAGGAATATGTTCCCAAGAGCCAGTCCAAGCACCAGGGACAGCCCTGCTCCTATTGCCAGGAGTCCCACAAATAGACCAAGCTGCACAACTGTCACCTATATGCAGAGGGCCTAGGTCGGTCCCATGCAGGCTCCCTGGTTGTTGATTCAGAATTTGAGTTCCCATGAGCCAGGCTAGCCATTTCTGTGGAGTTTCCTCCTATGACCCTGACCCCCTGGCTCCTACAATCCCTCCTCTCTCTCCTTAGCAGGACTCGCCAAGCTTGGCCCAATGTTTGGCTGTGGGTCTCTGAACCTGCCTCCATCAGTCACTGGATGAAGACTCTCCACTGACAACTGGGGTAGTCACCAATCTGATCACAAGGGATAGCCCGTTCTGGCTATGCATCCACTGCTGCCAGGAGTCTTTGCTGGGGCCAGGTTGTCTATAGATGTAAGAGTTCCCATCTTTAAAATGGGCAGGGAAGCTGCTCTGTGGATTATTGAAGGGCAGAGAAAGCATTTGAAGTGACCTGGACCATAACAGTAACATCTGTCTGAAGAATTTCCCCCTCTGAAGATCATTGCCTACCATAGCCCCACCTGATACTCATTGGAGCCTGGAACCCATGTCCCATGTATGTTGTTTTCACTGTTTAAGTGAAACACAGATACAGCCTTTTGTAACTGACAAGTTCCCCAAACCCACTTCACTTTCCTCTGACCTAGAGAAACAGACTGTTGAAATGGAGGGGTAAATCTGCACCCTGAGTCACACCATATAGGCATCACCTTGGAGTTGTTTTGAATACCTGTCCTCCTGCAGACAAGCTGCTTTCAGTTCACAATCGCATACATACTACTCTGTGTGCACGACAATGTGTAATTCACATAGGTGTGCTCATATGCGTAGAGGCCAGAGGTCAATGCCAAGTACCTTCCTCAATTACTCTTCACCTTGGTTTCTGAGACAGGGTCTCTCACTGAGTCAGAAGTTTACTGATTAGGCTAGACCTCCTGGGCAAAAACCCCAGGGGATCTTCTGTCTTTGCCTCCCCAGGGTCGGGATTACAGGAGTAATCATGCCTGGTTGTCATGCGCGGTTTTTATGTGGGTTCTGGGGTTCCAAAATCAGGTCCCCATGCTTGTGCAGCAGTCACTTTATTGACTGAGCCATCTCTCCAGCCTCGTCTGCATACTATTTCTGTCCTCTCCAGATCCCCACTGGTAGGAATTCATCATGGTGTCAGGGTGTTGCCGAGTGGCCTAAAGGGTCACTGATGACCTGGACTGAAGTCCTGGCCCTGGCCCTGCGTCTGCGTGACCTGGGACCAGATTCTAAGCTCTGAGTCTCAGATTTCCCATCTGGAAATAACAACAGGAGCTCCACATCAATGGCGCAGTGGTTCCCAACCTTCCTAACACTGCGACCCTTTATGATGGTTCCTCCTGTTGTGGTGACCTCCAGCCATAAAATTAATTCTGTTGCTACATTGTAACTGTAATTTTGCTACTGTGATGGATTGTAATGTAAATATCTGTGTTTTAATAGTCTTAGGCGACCCCTGTGAAAGGGTTGTTGTGACATCTCTATGAGCTGACAAATAGATACTAAGTGGCATCAGATCCTCAAGCGCCTAGGGAATCTGAGAACTGGGATTTAAGTGGCCTGGAGACTAGGAGCTGGCCAGATGGCCCTCACATCTCTGTGTTTATGCCTTTCTCCCCTCTTGAGGCAGAAGGGTAGAAAGGGAAGGACAGCACAGTGGTGGCTGCTGGCCTTGGGGCTTTTCAGTCCCTGGAGGAGCTCCAGGGGAAAGAATGATATCCTTAGAGGTGGCAACTGTGGTCCGGCCCCTGCTTTCCCCAAAGCAGGAAGAAGTTGCTCCCAACAACTGTTGCTATTCACAGTGAGAGTCCAACTCCCTGTTAGAAGCTGCTTCTTCCGGTTTAGAACATGGAGACACTGAGGACAGGGAGTCTACATGCCATCCAGTCTAGCTCCCTCATCTGGGAAGAAAGCAGGGGACATAAAGACAGTCCTGACATCTCTGTAGTACATAATGCTCATGTCCTTGGGAGCAGAGACCAACCAGGTAGGCCATCCCCATTCACAAGTCAGCAAATAGGCAGCGTCCTCAAGGGCTGCCCCCCACTAGAAGCAGAATGAGAACTTCAGGTGTCTCACTCATCCACCCCCATACTCAACACTGCAGCTCCTACCAGTGTGACCCCCAACCTGGTGGACCCCATCCTCCAGGCACACGCCATGGGCTTCAGGCCCCTAGGAAGTCACTCTCTTATGCCCACCCCTCTATTCTGCTCTGATCTCCAGGGCTCCCAGGAATCATTCAAGGAACTGTCTTGTCTTCAAGCCAGTGAGTCCCAAGGAGGAGAGATCCAACTGATGCATCTGATTCATCACTGGGAGCTCACACCCAGCACAGGGCCAGGCACAAGCAGAGTTAAGTGTGAATGGGAACATTTGTGGAGGAATAGATGGAGGGGGAAGGGAAAGAGGAAGGATTAGCAACCCATACTCTCTTCCATAGCTTCTCTCAATGGAGGAACGAGGCCCAGGTATTTACCCCACACTGATTAACCTCAATGCCCACCATCACTGCTATACCCGATCCCCAGCTCCCCTGCCACATTGGCCACAGCATTCACAAACTGCCCCGCCACCCTCAATTCCACTAGGGTACAGAGCACTCGCCTTAGGCAAGTGACCAGGCCTTGACCACAAACCAGCAGGAAAAGGACTTGGAGGCCTGGCCTGGCCCTTCAAAGCCATAAAGCAGGTGTCATACTTCTTTATCAGTACCATGCCTTGCTGGCTGGGAACTCGTGAGGTCCATGCTCCTTCCCTGAGGTGGGGAGGGGGCTGGGGGGGACTCCCAGTGTTTGTCAGCAGAGTATGGTATTGGGGAGGACTGTGTTTCCATGGTTACTAGCCATGGGAGCTGCAGGGAGATGGGGCCATGGTGTACACAGACACAGATCCACACGGACCTGCAAGAAAAATAGCAACAGATTTGCTGAGTCATTGGCCCCACATATTTATAGTTTCTGGCGAAGGCAGACCTGCCTATCAGAGGCTAATAATACTGCAGCAGTGTGTTAATTGCAAAGACAGAGTCTTCAAGCATCCATTCAGACACCCAAGACTGCTCCTTGAATAAAGAGAGAGGCTTCACAACAAACAAGCCAGGCTTCCTTCCTGCTTGGTCGCGTGTATAGTTAGGAGTGTGTGTGTGTGTGTGTGTGTGTGTGTGTGTGTGTGTGTGTGTGTGTGTGCAGGTATATGAAACCTGGCTCTGGCTTGGCAAAAAAGCCAGTGTTACATCAAGCAGACTGAAACCAGCCCACGGCATGGTGTGACAGCACACTCTTCAACCCCGCCCCCACCCCCCGCAAGGGTGTCTAGGATTCACTCACTCTACAGATGGCCAGGGCATGGAAGGGTCCAAAACAGAGAGGACGAGGCTGTCTGGCTACGCCCCAGAGATGAGAGGACGTGAGGCAGGATGTTAACTGCAACCCTATCCCTGGGGACAGCTATTGTCCTCTAGCTCTGCACAGCCGGATAAGTCAGAAGAGAAAGGAAAGGACCTTTATCGTCTGGTAGAGTAACTAGCAGGCCAACAGGCAGAGCCAAGATCACACCAGAGCTGGAATATGAAAGGCTGAGTCAAGTTCAATACATACTGAGAGCTGGGATGTCACCTTAATATGTATGGGCCAAGTTCAGCCCTGGGGAAGAATCTCTGCTTCACCCTCATGTCTAGCCAGATCCAGTGGCTCTGCCCCACCACTGCCCTATGGTGGCAGCAACTGTATTTTGCACTCAGGAGCTGCCCATGTTCCCAGCATCTGGACAGTAAGGCCCTGAGTGGAGCTGTAGGTGACACGGACAGACCTCCTACTCTGATGGCATTATTCTTGGTCCGCCTGAGTCTTCCGACCGCTGGGCCACGTTTTCACCTGGCTTGGGGTTAGTTCTCTTCAAAGGCCCTGTCCCACTCTGGACATGTTCCTTCTTACACTAGGCCCCATAGGACAGTTTGGGAACTTACTTAGAGAACCCCGGTCCCTTTAATCCTCTGTCTGCCTGTGGCCCCCGAGCACACATCAGCTTTCAGGTCCAGGAGGGCAAGGATGGCCGACAACAGCTTTCCCTCATCTTCAGCTGCAGTATCACTTCCAGATCAGACCGTGACCTTCCTGCTCAGCCTACAAGACAGACATGTTCCCCTCAGCTACAGATCCGACAACAGCAAGGCAGCGGCCTCCAAAGAAGCCAGGGAAAGGCACCAGAGCAGGCCCTACAGGAGGGTGGTAGCTGGGCTGGATGTATCAGCTGGGCCTCCATCCCGCCCACACCAACCCCCCAAACAGCTCATGCTCTCGTGACTGAGTCCACAGCAGTCCGTGAAAAGAAGGGAGGAGGCGCGGGAAGAGAGGGACATCTCTCCAGTTCTCACATCTTAAGAGAAGGTTGACTGGAGAGCTGTTATTAATAGTAAATTAAATAGTGCAGTTATTCTGAATAATAAAGAGCTCTTCTGTTCCGAGTTTCCTCAGTCCTCTCTCCAGGGAAACACTTGTGATGGCCTGAGAGGTGGCCTCCGTGATTGGCATTTGTAGGGCGAAGCAGGGATGGAAATGTAGCTCAGTAGAGTGTTTTCTTAATACACTGAAGCTCTCTGGGTTTGATCCACAGCACCACATAAAACAGGACAGGGAGTCATGCCTGTCATCCCAGCACTTGAAATGTGGAGGCAGGAGGATCAGAAGTTCAAGGCCATCCTCAGCTATGCAGCAAGTTTGAGGGCAGCCTCGGACACACAAGACCCTTTAAAAAAAAAAAAAAAGATGAAGGTGATGTTCTGCTCTACCCAGTCACGAGCTGCCAAGCACACCCAATAATGTCTCCTGTGACCCCCCATTACCATTAGAAGGCTTGGGTGCTTGACAATTGCTATGACCCCATCACAGAACTTAGTCTGGGTACATCCAAGGGTGGGAACCTCATCAGTGAGGTCCCCATCCACAGTGGCCCTCACACACTCACTCACTGTGTGACCTTGGGAACGCTATGGAGCTGCTCTAGTTCCCCATCTGTAAGATGGAATAATGACTGCATCTCCTCTGTGAGCTTGTCAGAAGAATTAAGATGAATACGTCCTGAATGCTATTGATCACATGTGAAGTTCTTCTGTGCAAAGGGCATGTACCTGTGCTGACACTCACTGGGCACCAGGTAAAGGTCTATTAGACAAATTAACCACAGCTCGGATGTGCAGACGAAGCCAGAGACCCAAGGTCCGATGTAGTAGGGGCTTTGGGCCCAACACTCTAACTCCAGTAGATCCTTCTCTCTGACTTAGGGTATAGCTGATGGAGGAAAGAACATAGCAATTTCATCTCCTGCCTTTCTCTAGGCCTCAGTTTCTTCAGCGGCAAAGGAGGATGTGTGAGAAAACCAGCCTCCCTTGACCTAGGTTATGGAACAATAACTAAAGTTAACTGAGCTCCTACTATGTGTCAGCCCCATGCTAAGTGCTTTGCGGTCACCTGGTCACCTCATGAAGCCCTCACAAGTCTAGAGGCGGGCCCTGAGTGCTAGAGATGAAGAGACAAGTTCTGGGAGGCGGAGAGAAAAACAAAAACCCTGCTCAGCATCACACAGCTAACAAAGGGGGAGCTAGGACTTGAACTAAGGTCTGTCTAAGCCCACCACCAAAGCTGATGCCCCTGAAGTCATAAAACGTGGGGGTGGGCTCAACAAAGAAGAGGGTGCCGGCCTGAGCTGTGCCTACACACTCCAGGTTTAGCCACCAAACAGCCCTCCACTGGGTATCAGCTTGTCCCAGGAACCGAGCATGCTCCAGCTAGCTGCTGGGTGACGGCAAAGACAGCAAAGTGACTGTCCAGGTGACAAGACCCTGGAAGGAGGTGGCAGGACACTAGCCTGAGACTGGACAGAGACAAAGAAAGGAAACAGAGTGGATCAGACACCAACCTCTAGAATGTACTGCATTCAGTCACAGCCATTATCCCCCCTCCTGCTCCTCCCGACATGATCCAGAATCATCTGGTTCCTCCTGGGCCCACTTGCCCCCCCCCCTCCCTGCATCTCCAATGGCAGCAGCTTTGGGGGAACAGTCTCCCCTGGGGCCTGATGCTGTGCTCAGTCGCTGTTTATGAGGAGGAAACAAGGCCGGCTGCGTTTTCTAAAGAGGCTCCAGGGAGCTGCAGCTGCGTGCCAGGGCTTCAGGCCTCCCAGGATCCTCTGCTGCTGGAGCCCCGAGACAGAGATTGTGGTCAGTCACTGCCCTGTGTAGGGGATGCAAGCAGGATGTGAGCACTATTGGAAACAATGTGTTCCACTTGAGGCTGCCTGAGCATTTGTCCTGGAGATGGCTCTGAGCTCAGAGAGGACTGAGGGATCAGACTGATCCTCAGCACCCTGGGGTTCCTGAAATACAGGGCCCACCCTACCCAGGGAAGTGCCAAAGAGGCCTTTGGCACGGGGACTTAGAGCCTCTAGGTTGGGGAGCCCCCTCCTCGCAGTGACAGTGGGTCCTTCCTGGGGAGGAAGGAGGGTATTCCAGCAGGGAAGCTTCTATGTGAAAGCGTCAGCCTCCAGAGGAGGCTCCTCGGGTGTGCCACCTGCCAGGAGTTCTGAACACTTAGCGGGCAGATGCTGCCTGGGAGATGAGTAAAAAGGCCGGCTGTAAAGGGTCTAGGCAATGGCCAAGAGCTTGGGTCTTCTGCTAAAGGCAGCAGAGAGCCACAGAAGGAAGTTGCCTGGCCTGGTGGGACTTTAGAAAGATCACTCTGGGACTAATTCTCCCATCCGGCCCTCCTGAGCCTGTTCAGTGCCTCGGGTATCACAGGGTGCTTTCCTGAGATTCCTCTCTGGAACCAGGAACAGTGCAGCCCCAGGGACTCAGGCATAGTACAGATCCCACCTGAATTCCCTGTCCTGATCCAGGATCAACACATCTTCTCTCCATTGCACAGAAATTGTGTCAGAAATGATGAGAAAGACCTATCAGAAAACAGGTCCATGTAATTAATCACATCAGTTATCAGAAAGGGAAAGATGATGTGATCATCTTAACAGACACCAGAAATGAATTTAATAGAACTGGCCACTCTGCTAAAACTCAGTAAAACACAAATAAAAATTTCCTCAACACAATGAAAAAAAAATACATCTGCAGCCAACATCAGCATCATTCTTAGTAATAAAACACTATCGGGGGGCCTTCATATTTAAGTCACAGTGGGACAAGGAAGCCTGCTATTACCATAATTATGTTATATTGTTCTGGAAGTTTAAGCTAATACATTATTACATTAAAAGAGAAAAAGAAGTGTAACATTTGAAAAGAAAGAGGAATTGCTATCATTATTTGTACATGATAGGATTGTTTATTCAGAAAACTCCAGAGAATCCACTGAAAAACTAATAACAGAGTAGGGAAGAGGTCAGGAAGATGGCCAGTGTCAAAATGATACACTAGCAAAACTCAGTTGGAAAACGTTAAGACAGAGAAAAAAGAGATTCCAGAATGAATGGAGACTAAAGGGCATTCAAGGCTCAAGAATAAGCCTTTGGGGCTGGAGTACAACTCAGTGGTGGAGGCTGGGGTACAGCTTGGTGCTGGGGGCTGAGGTACGGCTTGGTGGTGGGGGCTGGTGTACAGCTCAATGCTAGGGGCTAGAGTACAGCTCAGTGGTAGATGCTGGGCTATGTATGGTTCAGTGGTGGACGCTGGGGTATGTATGGTTTAGTGGCAGAGGCTGGGGTACGGCTCAGTGGTGGAGGATGGGGTACGGCTCAGTGGTGGAGGCTAGGGTACGGCTCAGTGGTGGAGGTTGAGGTATGGCTCAGTGGCAGAGCCTGGTTTTAGAATAAACAAGGCTATGTGTGTTAATCCCAGAACCAAAAGAAAAACAGGAAGAACAAGGTCATGGCTCAGTTTATAAGGTACTTGCCTAACATCATAAAACCCTGGGTTTGAACCCCAAGCCCCTGTAAAACTGGCATGTGGGCTGAAGAGATAGTTTAGTCAGTGAGGTGCTTGCCTTTTAAGTATGAGGACATGAATTTGATTCCTAGACCCAGTACTGAGAGAGAGAGAAAGAGAGACAGAGACAGAGACAGAGAGAGACAGAGAGACAGAGACAGAGAGACAGAGAGAGACAGAGAGACAGAGACAGAGAGACAGAGAGACAGAGACAGAGAGACAGAGAGACAGAGACAGAGAGACAGAGACAGAGAGACAGAGAGACAGAGAGAGACAGAGAGACAGAGACAGAGAGACAGAGAGACAGAGACAGAGAGACAGAGACAGAGAGACAGAGAGAGAGATTGAGCACTGTGGTGGTGGCCCATATGCTTATAATCCCAGCAGTGGAGAATAGCCAGGTCCCTGGGTCTCACTAGTCCGCTGACCTAGCCTACTTAATGGTTCCACTTAGTGAAGAGATCCTGTTTCAAGGAAGAGAAAGGTAGATGGCACCTGGGGAACACCACCAAAGATTATCCTCTGACCTTCACATGTAGCTGCACACATGTAGACACACGATGGACCATGGTGACACAGACTTGTAACCCCACTGCTCAGATGATAGAGGCAGGAGGACCAGAAGTTCAGGGCCATCCTCAGTTACACCGTGAGTTGGAGGCTAGCCTGGGCTACACATGACTTTGTCTAAAATCCAAAAAGAAAGAAAAGAAAGGGGGAGAAAGAGCTGGGGATGGGAAGGAAGAGGGTGTCTCGGACCATCTTCCTTGGCCTGGCCTGGCCTGGAGCTGTCCTGAGGGGAGGACCCAGGCCTGCTTCCTCGCAGCCCCGGCAAACAACAGCTCAGGCCTTGAGACGTGGGCAGCAGTAACAAACAGTCCACTGAGCCTGGAATCACGGAGGGACAGTTCATACCCACGGGGGGGCTCTGGGCTATAGGCTATGATGGGGATCTGTCATTCCCTGCATGGCTCAGACCCAGTAACTGAGGTTCTAGTTAAAGAGCTTCTTGGAACATTCATGGGTCAGCCATGAATCCAGGACTGGCTCCCTGGATTCACTGAGGCAGATTTTCCGAAGAGGACTTTTCCTCTGTAAAGAGACCCATTCAGCCAACATCCAGGCTTCTCTGATGACAGACACCCACTCCTGGCCTTCTTAATCCAGGGCTTGGCAGAGGACCCTGATCGGGCAGCATGCTTCCGTCATCAGGGCTGTCCAATTCTTCGGGCCCGACTTAGAGAGTGAAGTCTGCAGACCTGAACTCACCTGCAGCGTGCAGAGCATGCCCTAACACACGCACACATGGCTCCCCTCACGAGCTGTCAACTCCTGGCTTCTATTCCTTACCCTCAGAGAGAGTCCACAGCCTAAGCCATCTCAGCCGGAAAGCTAGAAATCACTGAGGAGCAGTAGAGGGCTTCAGAAGCCTTCAGGAGGCCATGACCACTGAGTGGTCTGGAGAAGGGAAGAAGGAAAGAAGAAAAGGCTAGACCACAGTGAGCACTGCCAGGAGGTTGCTTATCATGTCCCAGGTAACCCACAACCTCAGGGAGCAGGCGGTGTGCACATCTGGATCAAACCTGGTCACAGGGATTCCACTGCTCGTGTTCCCAAGCTGTTCTTTAGAAAACCCAGCCCATGGTAGCCAATCCCGACCCTACCAAAGGCCAACCTCCTTGTCCTTCACACCCCTTCTCTGCTGTTTCCTGCTAGCCTTGTCTTCTTGCCTAAGAACCAACCACTCATGTTTCTTCCTCTTGGGAATTACCCTCTGTAGGTGTCCTGTGGCATGCAGCTCTCCCTAGGAGGGACCACACTCAGCTCCATGATGCCACCACAGGGAGCCTTCTGAGAGTATCAGATGGGCACAGTAACAAAGGTGGGCACAGGACTCTCCTGCAGGCCCCTCTTTGAGGCCTAGCCTTGCATGCTCTCAGCCCTATCTTTTTCCCTCAAGCCCCACGATTACAGAGTCCTCCCCAACCCCAGTGTGTAGGATAATGCTCTGAGGGCGGTTATTTGACCTACTTCACCAAGTCCCCCTGGATTCTTGGTCTTGTCACCATGGAAACCTTCTGAGGTCACTAGCACCATTAAAATGGGAGGGGGGAAAAGCCTCTCCCCACCCCAAAATGAAGCCCCACTTGGCTCCAGTGGCTTCTGCACGGGAGCAGTGGGCAGTCTGAGAGGAGAGGCTGAGCTCCATCTCCAGGCACAGAGTAACCCCTTGATGCCTAGGATGTTGGCCTCTCAGACACGTGCCTTCCATAGCCTGAAGTTTTCCAGACGTCCTTGCCTGAGGAGAGAGTCCTGCGGCTTTGTGCACACGCACAGCAGGCTTCCTGCCGTACCTGGGGATTCAGAGAAAGGCTCTTCCCAGGCAATGTTATTAAGTGAAGAGACTCAGGAACTGCTGAGAGGCAGGAGCAGGGGAAGAGAGAGGAGGCCAGAGTCTGGACCATGCGTAAGCCCTGGTCATAGCCACTTTTATACTTCCACAGGAAGTCTCCTGAAGACCGCTGTGTGACACCCATCTCCTTACCCCTTTCTCACTGCCACGATGTCAAGGCAGGCACAATGCTTTCTACATCTTGCTTTTCACTATATCTCACACCACAGTCGATGGCACACTGCCGTGCCAAGACCGCCGTCTCTGCTGCTACCATGTCTACCACCTCTGTCGCCACGAACAACTGCAACTTCTCCATAATTTACACTCACCAACATGGCTACCCCGTAACTGCTGTCCTATCGGGACCACTACCTCCTCTCCTTTAGCAATGCCACATTTACCTTTACCACGTCACCACTTGACCTCCGTGACCTCGATCATGGTCAACACCACCACCATCACTATCAACGACATTGTGCTTGTGATCTCCACCACGGTCACCTGTTCCCATCTGCCACAGTTACCACCATTCTCACCATCGTGAATGTCACAACAGCAAGATCACACGTCATCACTATCAATGCCCCTTACTCACACCTGCCCCCAACATGTGAAAGAAAACGGTCTTCCCTCATAAAGTTGGTCCGTCTAGTTCCAACCCTCTCATGGACACCATGCAAGAACCTCGTCTAGGAAGAGCAGCTGGGTCTCCCATTCCTGCTTCCTGGGACCCTGCATCCTTAGGGCAGCTCTTAGCACTTGCCACTGTTCTACCACAATGGTCATTAGTGCTCTTTCTGAAAACCTCAGAGACATGGCTGAGACAAAGCTAGAGTGCCTATGGTAGAAGCTGCTGATGAGGGTGTAAGTTGCCATGGACTTTTGGAAAAAAGTAACACTATAGCAAAGCCTCCAGAAAGTGCATTCTCAGAAACTGTACTTCTAAGAACGTACCCTGAGGAAATAATTAGATAAATGTGCAAAGATGATATGTGGGTGTTACAATAGCAATAATTGGAAACAGCCTAAATGCATAGCAACAAAAGTTTAAAGAAACCATATGGATTAATATGCAGCCATTAAAACAGAAAACAAAGGCCTGTCTATTGACATAAAAATAGGCTGACTCTATAGTACTAATGAATAAAGGTACATTTCCTGTGTAGAACATCTGTTCCTAAAAATACAAATACACTCACAAAACAAGGTTAAAAAAAATTTTTTTTTTTTTTTGGTTTTTCGAGACAGCGTCTCTCTGTGTAGTTTTGGTGCCTGTCCTGGATCTTGCTCTGTAGACTCGAACTCACAGAGATCTACCTGGCTCTACCTCCCGAGTGCTGGGATTAAAGGCATGTGCCATTGCCACCTGGCAAGGTTAAAATATTTTATCTTAAGAGTTGGCATTAAGATTTCTGCTTCAACAGGAAACTCTTTGGTGAAAAAAAAAATAATTCTTGGGGCAACTGTTTAGACATATGCCAGTACCAGAACTCTAAGCATGGGATGAGAGGGACTTCTCTTTGCTCCTGAGGAAGCTGGCAGAGAGAGGCAACACCATCGGAGAAGAGAGAAGCGGAGAAACCAAGGCGGAGACAGATGCCAGGAAACTCCCGCTAGGCTGGGGAGTACAGAGAAGCTTCCAGGTACTGGGATGCCTGCTCTTTCTCAAAAGTTGATTGTGGCCCAGCAGTGGCGGCTCACACCTCTAATCCCACTCAGGAGGCAGAGGCAGGTAGACCTTTGTGATTTTAAAACCAGCCTGATCTATATAGCAAGCTCCATGAAGGCCAGTCTGGGCTACACAGTGAGACCCTCCCTCAAAAAGAAAAAAAAAAAAGAAAAAGAAAAAGCTAATTGTGTAACTATCTCTTTCCCCACATCAAATTTTAGGGCTATCAAATGCTCAGTTTTTCTTTCTTTCTTTTTTTCCCTTTTTTGAGACAGGGTACAGCTGGCCTTCTCTCCCTGTAGCTGAGAATGATTTTGAATTTCTGATCCTCCTGCCTTCATCCCCTGAGTGTTAGGGTCATAAGCACGTACCATCAGGCTCTGGACTTCATGCACGCTGAGCAAGCAACTCTACCAAGCTAAATGCCCAGCCTCAAGTTCCTGAATGAATGATTCTCCTGTGGGAACTGAGGTAGAGTTTCAGGTTTAATCCACCCTAAAGCTGGCTCTTTCCAATGGAGAAAATTATGGGTGGTATATATATAATATATATTACATCTATATTCGTTTTATATATTTATAATATATGTTAGTTTTACTTGTATTTTCTTATTTCCTAAAATAATCATAACACAAAAGGTAAAATCCAGGGTCTACTAATTGGACCTTGATCACAGCATCAGAATACAGAATCTGGGTTATAAAGCATGTTTTTCCCTCTCCCACAGACCCTGAAATCTACATATTGTGGGCACTTCCTTTGTTCCCACCACCCAGAAGCACCCAGATAGATGTCTCCGTACCCTGAAGCCTGATCCCTGAGAGGAATGTTCTAGAAAGACACAAGGAATGTCTCCACTCTGATACTTAACCATAGACCCGGCTTCTGACCTCTCTTCTTGGCATGGCAGCCCCATGCCTCTCGGTATGGACGACTCTAGGAGCAATGCCCCTTTGAGGTCTTGCACTCAGGACTTCCACATGTGAGTTCCCACCAGAGCATCATAAGCTAACACTGAAGTGATTGGATTATCATCAAAGAAAAGAGGTGTAAATGTTGTAGTGGTGGTCACTGATGGGACACATCATCGCCCCAGGACCTCCACTCTGGCTTACCTTGAAACATTCCCAAAAGGATACAAAGAATAGGAAGGCAGGAGGGGACTATTTGGTTCCCATCTCCTGTCACATCCCCCATCCCACAACCCCTGCCTGGTTCATTCACTTGATGTTCAATGGAATAATGTAGTCAGTAATGAATTTGTTTTGCATTCAGTTGGATAACACTGTTAGTTATGAATTTATAATTTGCAGAGGGATAAGCTTTTTTTCTTCGAGGCGTCAGAGAAGCTGTTGCTTACAAACTCGTAATTCACCGCTGCAAATCCATCTGTAAATGACACTATTGCAAGCTAGAAAATCTCCCAGGCACAAGGACTACAGCCTCAGAATTAAATTGTGTGTTTGACAAGAACCTGCTGTTCCATCCAGAGGCTCCTGCCCTTCCTCCCGGAGTTCATCTTCAGTCTCACACCTTCCGCCTTTGAATTCATCCACCCAAACCCTGGCTCCCCAGCAAGCTAGCCTGAAGCCCCTGTTCTTCCCCTTCTCAACCAGAAGGTATAAATGACCAGGCGGCCAAGCTCTCTAGGGAAGTGCAAAAGTACCATCAGGCTCTGCGGGCACTGGAATAATGCAGACCTCAGTTATCACTCTGAACTCTCACTTGCCCTGTTTCCCCATCACGGCTAAGACTTCAACCCCCTTGGGACCATTTCCTAGACACGCAACTATGGTTTGAGTGGGAGATCTTTTTGTTGTGGTGGAGGCGGAGTCTCATGTAGCCCAACTTGGCATAAAGCTGGCTATGCAGCGAAGGATGGTCTTGAACTTCTAATCCTCTGGCCTCTCCCTTTTCAGAGCCCTGATTACTGGTGGTCGCCTCACACTGGGTTTATGAGATGCTGGGGATTCCACCCCCAGCTTCTCCCACACCAGGAAAACACTCTACCAACTGGGGAACATCTCCACTTCCCTAAAGGAGGATTTCTTAAAGAGTGGGGTTGGGGTGCCCCTAGCCAGGATCCCGCAGTGGGAAAGTGGCCACAGCAAGAGCGACTGAAGGACCACAAGGCAGAATTGGGTAGGAGTGGGTAGGAGCACTGAGCACGTTGCAGAGCCAACCATCATTTCTAGCCTCTTGTATATTTTTTTGTTCTTGCTTTTTTTTTATTGTTGTTGTTTTGTTTTTGGCTTTTCAAGACAGGATTCTTGTATAGCCTTGGCTGTCTTAGAACTCGATCTGTAGACCAGGCTGGCATTGACCTCAAGAGAGCCACCTGCCTCTGCCTCCCAAGTGCTGGTATTAAAGGTGTGTGCCACCACCGCCCAGCTTATTCGTTATTAGTATAATTCTTCCTAAGACTTACGGTGGAATGAAAATTAAAAGGAGACATAATCCATAGCTGAGCTAAGGAAGTCTATTGGTGCCTGGTAGGAAATTAGATTTAGAAAAGAAGTTGGTAGCCTTGTTAACCAAAAGTCAATCAACACACATAGTCCTCCATCCCCATCCAATGCTGAACTCCAACGTGGGACCAAAAGAATGAGTAAGACAGTATGGCCCTTGCTTAACAGAGTATGGCTTAGCAGGGAAGCTGCATCATTGAACATCCAGCTACAATAAGGCGTGATCACTGTTAATAAAGACACATGTATATGTGTTAAGAGAGGCATCAAAATTAAAGGTATTTGAAATGAAGCCTGCTACAAATGAGCTCTGTGACCTCAAGCAAGTTGCTTAACTGTCCTGAACTTTATCAGTCAGTATCTGTCAGTCCAGCAGGGAAGGCAGTGTCCTTCATTACAACAGCTAAGCCACATGAAGCTGAGAAGAGCCAAGGCTAGAGATCTGGATTTGGAGTGAGCCACACTAGTGGGATCTGCTATCACCAGAGAACAGGGTGTGGAGGGGAAAGAGAAAGGTGGAGAGAAAAAGATGCAGAGCTGAGCCCTAAGCAACCCTAGAGTTCAAAGACGAGCAGGTGGAGAGCCCATTAGCTGTGAGCCTGGAGCCAGCAGAAACCCGGTAGGTCCAGGTGTCCTCCAGCAGTGGGAAAGGAGATGGATGACAAGAGCTGCGTGGCTGATTGTCCAAATGCAGCAGGAAGAAAAGTCAAACGTGGGCTCAAATGTGTCCTGTGGATGGAGCATCTTGGAGGTCAAGGTGACCTTAGCTTTGAAGGTTTTTCAGGTAAGTGGTGGAGGTGAGTGGAGATTGCTGAAGGAAGAGGGATGCGTATAGCAGGGGCAGGAGAGGCAGAGACGCAAGGACTCCTGGGCAAGTCTGACTATGCAGGAAGCCAAGAGCCCCAGGAGAGGCGGTGAGGCCTCAGCTCTAAGATGGAAGAGTCTGGAGAGCAGGTTCAAATGCAGGTGGACAAGAGCCAGGCTGAGAAACAGACAGACAGAGAGGGAGATTTAAGTGACAGAAGAGTAGAGGCAGGAAATAAAGCAGGAGAAGATGGCCCAGAAGGGAGCAGGGATGACAACCACCCAGCTCCCAGGGCTGTTGGCAGACTGATGGGGCGGTGTGCGTGGCTGTGAGCCACCGAATACCATCTTCCTGGAGTATCTGAACATCCCATTCTCAGATGAGGCTGAGGCACAGCAGTGAGGAAAGGCTCAGCACAGGGTTCCCCTGGGATAGGATAGGAATTACAGGGCAGGGAGGAGAGGTCCCCCGGAGCTATGCACCATGCTCCTGCCTTCTGGCTTTTTACATCCTAGTTCATCTCAAAAATATATTGTTTCATAAAGATTTAAAACAAATGGGTTAGCAGTTCATTCAATATTCACAAAACATACCTTGAAACTGACAATAGCCAACTCAGATCAATTGAGCAATTTGTCTCTCAGATATATTGGATAGAAAAAGTTGTCTCCAGATATTTGTACGTAAACATATTAAAATCAAAAATCAAAATGTTGTCACAGTTGACAGGAAAGTGTTGTGAAATACTCAGTGAAGAGAATGAAGGCATAGACTTCCCAGTTCCTCATGCCACGTAATTCAGCCAAACATGAATCTAACACATGACCGTGAACTCTGAGAAAAAGTCCTCCAGGAGCATTTGAGGCTCGGGCACAGACACCAAGAGGGTGACTTGAAAAAGAAGTTGGGATCACTACAGCTAATCTGGGTGTTTTGGAGAAAGTGGCAGAACCTGGCTGAACTATTCAAAAAGCAGGCCGCAAAGCTGGGGCAGAACACTCACCAGCAAGGTCCAAATGCTCACTAACTGGTTGATGAATGGCAACTCTAATACTCAGACCTTGTATTTCCCTCTCTGGGGCACGGTGGCTAAAACAAGACTCATATTGGCAATGGCCTGGACCTCCAGAGTAATGCTGGTATACTTGACCAAGAAACAGCAGGTGGTGCACACCTTTAATCCCAGCACTCTGTGAGATTGAGACTGACCAGCCTGATCTATATATCAAGTTCCAGACCAGGCCGAGCTACATAGTATCCTGTCTCAAACAAACAAACAAAAAAAGCAAAAGAGAAAATAAAACAAAGAAGTATCAGGTCACCACCATATACCTAGAAGCTGAACTTCTAGGCATAGCAGCAGCCACTTTCTCTGTGACTTTTTATAAACCAGAAGATAAAGCCACATTTCCAGGAAAATTCTGAATTTTTTTTCTAACAAAGATTTGACTCACAGCAACAGAATTTTCAATTGTAGACTTTGACCCACAGCAACAGAATGTTCAATTGAAGATTGAACTGAAGGCCTTGGCTCATGGGGCAACTTGTTCAATGCATCTGCCAATTCTGCTGGCCTTTGGGGGAACGGGCAAGCACAGTCCTGCTCTCAGCAGCTTATTGTCTTGTCGACAAAGTGGATTTGCCGTGCCAGCATGTGACAAACACTGTTCTTGTAGCTCCAAGAGGGCCTGGGGTTTGACCTGAAGAGGGCAGTTTTTCAGGCAGAGAGTGAACAGGGAGAGGCTTCAAGTAGCTCATTCCTCAGGAGCACGGAGCAAAGAGTGATAAAGGGCAACAAGACTGGCATGCCAGCCAAGGGCAAGCTCCTGCAGACCATAGTAGCATACCTCTTAATACCAACACAAAGGAGACAGAAGCAGGCAGATCTCTGTGAGTTTGATGTCAGCCTGGTCCACATAGTAAGTTCCAGACCAGGGATACACATGAGATCTTGTCTTTAAAAAAAAAAAAAAAAAATCAAACTCCAAAAAGACATTGACACCACACTAAGGAGATGAACTTACCTTGTATGGGCAGGAAAGCCCTGAGGTAATTATAAATGGGCAAGCCAGAAAGCTGGCACCAGGAGAATGTAACTCATCAAGTGCATTGCTTGCCTAACATGTATGAGCCCCGGGTCCACCCCAGGGATGGTGGCACTCCCCTATGATCCCAGGAATAAGGAGGTAAAAGCAGAAGGATCACACTTTTAAGGTCATTGTTGGCTACGTGGGGAGTTTGAGGATAGCCTGGAATATATGAGACTCCCAGGGGAGGGAAAGAAGGAGGAAAAGGAAGGTAATTATGAAAGAAAGTTAGCTGACTCCAACATGAGGGTTGGGGGGTCTTGATGAGAACGAGGGAGGCTCCTCAGGGTAAATCTGAAAAATGGGAAGATCCAGCAGGAGGTTATGGGCTCATGTAGGGACTGATGGACACAAGCCCAGGTCTGCCATCCCCAGAGAGAAGATGAAAGCAGTCTCTGATGCCGAGTAGTTGCAGTAACTACAATCAGTAGGGTAGAAGGAACAGGATTGAGTGACTCCATAGATATGAGAAAGTGAAGACCAGAAACACCTTAAGTTTGTGGTGCTCGTGAAGGGGTAGCCATTCTCTGAGATGGTAAGACAGAAAGGGATATATCTAGGAGAAAGATAGTGGGTTCAGACATGGGCACATTGGGTTGGAAGTAGCTGCAAGTCATCACCATGGAAATGTCCAGAGACAGCCTCCTTGAGAGATTGAAAAGGCAATCAAGATCCTGGCATGGTGGCACATGCCTTTAATCCCAGCACTTGGGAGGCAGAGGAAGGAGGATCTCTGTGAGCTCAAGGCCAACCTGGCCTATATAGAAAGTTCCAGGACAGCCATGGCTACACAGAGAAATTCTGTCTCAAAAAAACCAGAAAAGAAAATGCAGTTAAGGGCTTAGGAGGCATGGATGTTCCAGCCCTGAGAAAGATGAGTGGTGTGAGAAGAGGACTCGGTGAGAATCTAAAAACCACCAACTTTGGGCACTGGAGAAATAGGATGAATGGAGCAGCAGAGAGGCAGGATAAGATCAGGAAGGCAGACCCGTGCCTCTCCCACAGAGGACAAGGCTCGGGGAGCAAGCAGAGTCCCCAGGCTCAGGAACCACAACGCCATCACCTTGGACAGAGGAAGAAAAGCACCTGCTGGTCTTGACAAGAACTAGGTTCTGCTGGGTGAGGTTGATTCCAGTTCTGCAGTGCAGCAGAAGGGTCAACAGAGTCAGGAGCAAGTGGGAGCGCAGAGCCAGGGCGGTGGGTGGGAACTCTTGAGAAGCTTGTTGGGGAGACGATGAAGGGTAGGAAATGGTGGGGATGTCCTGGGATGTGCATTTCCCAAGATGAGCCTCATTGTTGTCCAGCCAAAGAGAGTTAGATGGGACCCTGCCCGCCTAAAGTGGTTTTCTTCTGAAGACTCAGATGTGCCTCTCTCTAAACATTTCCCACTAAGTCTGGTGTGAACCTTTCATTCCAACCATTGTTTTCAGGAAAATTCCCCGGATCCCAATACAACTAATATTTACTGAATGCCTGCTAAGTGCTGTGCTGAGTACTAACTATACATGGATTGTTTTACTTAGTCCTCATGGCCAATCATCAGGAAACTATTGACAAAGAGGGAAACTGGGGCTTGGGAACTGTGATTTGGTCACATGGTTAATGGAAACGTGGACATGTGGAATGCCATCCACCTCCCTAGAGGCAGGATGTCTCACTGGCCTGGCAGTCACCAGTTACACCAAGCTGGCTGCCCCGTGGGCCTATCTCCACCACCCCAGTGTTGGGATTGCAAACACGAGCCGCCATGCCTGGCTTTCAGGTCCTCATGCTTCTGTGACACTGAGCCCTCTCCCCATGCCCACTTTGCCCATTTTATAGACCAAGAAACTCAAACAACCCAGATCACACAGCTAGCAAATGGAATGCCTAGACCCAAACCCAAGGCGGCCTGATACAATAACTTCCCAAGCTCTCATGCTTCCCTCCATGGCCATAGGCAACTGCTCCTAACCCTTGGACCTCAGGAACTTCGGACAACCCACTATGAGGAACGAATAATAGGAGAAATGTTGTAGGAGGGTAAGATGCCACACTTGCAGCAATGAAAGAAGAGGGACAGGAGCCAAGGTCACCAGGACCATAGCTGGGACTCAGTGCTGGCAACACCACTCTCTCTTGCTCTATTTGGCTTCCTACACTGGGTAGGAAAGATGCTCACAGCATCTAGCATGCATCTAAACAAGAAGTAACATTCTTCCTCCCATCATGAACACGTACATACCAGGAAGGAGTACTATGCCCACACCTTGGACCAATCACTGTGGCTGGAAGATGGAGGGCATCTATGGTTGGTGCCACCTGAGTCACATGTCTGTCTACCTGATGGCCGTAGAGCAGGGATGGATGAAAGGAACTGGTACTTTAACTGACAACCCACTGCAAATGTGTGACAACAAAAAGACATTTCCCAAAGGAAGAGGATGTCAGAAGTGAAACGATGGAAATCAGGGAAGAGAGGTAAGAGTCACTAGCTGTCACCGTCCACTACACCGGTCCATGTGAGAGACAGGGGGGACACACACAGACATCATCACCACGTGGAGTTCGCAGCCTCCAAGAGAAACACATTTGCATTAATGTGAAGACATTAATAAGAGCTGATCGCATCTACCATCTCTGAGCACCTACAGGGGACAGGCACTGTCCTGGAAAGTGGGTACAGCTGCCATCCCATTTTTTCCTGAGTCCAAGAGACAGAAAAAAAAAAGCAGAAAACAATCTCCCCCACCCCTCTGCTCCATGATATTCAGAAAAATATAAAAAATGTTTATGGGTCCCTTATCCCCACTCACAGAGGTTAAAGGACTTGCTCAAAGTCACACAGCTAGCACACAAATAAACATTCTGGGAAGTATTTGGTTAAAGGCAAAACAATGCTTCCTGTTGACTAAAGGATTGGGGAAGACTACCTGGGAAAGGAGGAGGTAGTGGGTGGAGCAAAGCTGAGCCTGGAGGATGGGACATCTGGCCATGTGTGCCAGGAAGTGAGGGCGGTAATCCCCCCAAACTCAGGGAAGCAAGTCTGAACACTCCTACATCTGTCTGCTCCCTCCATTCTATGGCAGATCTTTCAAGATTCCTGATCAGAATCACCTTCTTTGAGTCTGCTCTTCGCCAATCGACCCCAGCCAGCCCAACCATTCTTCACAGGATGTGTTCACTGGCACCCGCACCTTCTGTCTTGGCTGCCCTCCTGTATGGTCCAGCTATGGACAGGTCCTAGGCACAGTTTGAGCCACACAGAAGACAAAAGAAATGTCACCTCCCCCTTCTAAGCACTGAATTTCCTAATGAGCCCCAAGATCAGTTAGTAAGTATTACTCTGAAGCCTCACGGGCTCCCAACACCCCCAATTCAAGCACATCACCCCCACTGTGGCCCATAGCAGACAGTCCCAAGCCTAAAATGAGACACTCATGTCACTGCTGCGGACTTAGTCCATACTTGGTGCCGGCTGCCTCCCAGCGTCATAGCTTCTGCAGAAGCAGGGCTGGGACTGTGTGACTTCCACACAATGTACCTAATGCCACAGAACTATGGACTCTAGATAAAATGGTCCCTGTGCTACCGTGTGCATTTTATGACAAATTTAAGCCAAGTCATTGGTGGGATCTCTGGAGCCACCTCCTCGGGTGACTCTGTCCCCAGCCTAGACAGCTAGGTACCATCAAAAGGCAGCAGAGGAGGAAATTCCTGGTGGTTCTAGAAAACCCTGAGAATTTAACCTCTGAGAGGACTCAGAGGCCAAGTTAAACTATTGATACCTACACCACCATCACTGTCCTAAATTCTGGACCCCTTAGGCCACCTTAAAATTCCATCCAGCTCCAAGTCCTCAGCCCTCCCTGCCTCTGTAGTTCAGGAGCTGGACTTCCTGTCTACCCAGCTTTTGAAATGTCTTCCTACCAGCCACTCAGTCTTGAATCCTAACACTTTGGCTTCTGTTCCCTACTCACCCACTTACACACAGAGCAAATTGTCCCTGCCAGTCACCAATTGCTCCTAAGTGTGAAGGTCAATGAAGACTTTCCTTCCCTTCTCTCATGAGCAGCCTTTGACACCTTGGTGCTGATTGAGCCTCCCGATTGAGCCTCTGGCCACCTCCCTGGGCTCTGTCCCTACCTCCCTGACAGTTACTTCCCTATCTTACTCTTGGACTCTCCCAAGCTGCCAACCTGGTCCTGATGCTGCCAATGTTACTTCCGCACAGCTAACCTGCTTAATATCTCATTTCCTCTGAGGATAAGCCAAAATAACCACCCTAAGCCCGCCACTGTCAAGCCCCAGCACTTGTGTGAACAGAGACCTATTTTCCTTTTCTGCATGGCCTAAACTTCTCTCTTCACCCCAGACCACTCAGATACACACAACCATTTACTCAGCCTCGCCTGTAAACTAGAAACACAGGACTCCCTCCACCCCCTTCTCAAAGTTCAGGGTCTAAGGAAATCACCAAATGATTTCACCAAGTAGTGCTCCTTTCCCCCACACCTCTGTGGCTACTCTGGCTGGCCTCTCACAGCTCAAGCAGTAAGAACCTCCTAAATGGGCAGCTGGCTGTGGCCTCCTCAAACCCACCATTGACTGAGTGTGGAGGGATCTCCTAGGAGAGCAGATAGGAGTCCCCCGACTCCCCACGCCCTGCCCCAGCACAGGCTCCCTCTGCCATAGGATAAATTCCAAGCTTCTAACAGCGGCCTCCTGTCTCCTGATGAGTCTTCCCAATGGTATCAACAGGGCCACTTTGACTGACACTTACCCCCCCCATTTCTGCTCCTGAGCCCTTCTTCCCCCCCACTTTCCCTCTTGGGATGCTGAGCCCTCCTCCCCGGGGTCACAGTCACCCAGACTCCTACTTCCCTGTTAAGATTCAGCTCAAGGATTGCTTTCCTAGGAAGAACCTTCAGGGGTGGGGGACAGGTGGCTGGCCTGTGCTTCCTCCTTGGCACCCCACCCATACCTGCCACATTACCAAAGCTTCTAGAACTTGCCTGTGCTCTGCATGCACCACCCTTTGGTTTGCTCAAGAATGTCCTCGTGGGTTACTTTTCCTCCTCAACAGAGCTAGCAGGGGACAAGGCCCACTGAAGGCCAAGAAAGAAAGAAAAGAAAGAAAGAAAGAAAGAAAGAAAGAAAGAAAGAAAGAAAGAAAGAAAGAAAGAAAGAAAGAAAGAAAGAAAGAAAAAGAAGAAAGAGGGAGGGAGGGAGGGAGGAAGGGAGGAAGGGAGGGAGGAAGAAACCAAACAAACAAACAAACAAATAAAAAACTGATGAGAATTTGGATGAAGAGCAAGGGGAACCGAAACACCCCCGTACTCACCATCCCCTCCCTCAGCTAGAGCGTGCCACACAATAGGTGTTCAGTAAAGGTTGGTTGGATTCTATTTACTGAACTGACATAAGATTTGGGGCAGTTTGAAGTATGATGGCAGAGGAGGGAAAGAGCCTGAAGGGGAAGCCCAGGGTGCACCGCAGTGGGGGAAAGAGAGCCAAGGGATTGTGTGAAAGGGAGGTGAGGGAACTTGAGAGTCAAGTGCGGGCCTCTGTGCGCTCTGGGCAGCGGGCGGCGGCCTGGCTAGCCCCCCTCCAGCCCCGCCAGCGCTCTGTCCTTCCGGCTCCCTGGGGTGGCGAGACCCCCCGGCTCGCGCGCTCCGCTCCGGGTGCTGGGAGGCGTGTGTGTCGCTTTAAAAGCTCCCTCCCGGCGCGCGGGGCCGGCCCCTTCCCTGCCAGCGCCGAGGCGAGCGGAGCCGCGCGAGCCCGGCGGCCTTGGAGGGAGCCAGCGCCCGCCAGGGCGGCCAGTCCGGCGGGGCGCGGCGGCGCTCGGGGAAAGCCGGCCAGGCCCGCGGAGCCGGGCGGGCAGGGCAGGGCAGGGCGAGGGGCGAAGCAGCCGGGGGAGAGAGGCCCGGGCCGCCCCGGTGCCTCCTCTGCCCCATTGGCAGCCGCCCGGGGCCGCGAGGCGCGGAGCCGTGAGCGAGCGCGCAGGAGGCGGTGGAGCCTAGCGGAGGCTGCGCGCCCCGTGTGCCCGGCCGGGCCCGCCGCGCCTCCTCCATCGGCTCCCTGGCGCCTCGCTCGCCCCCTCTGCTCTCCTTTGCTTCTTCTGCTTAGCCCCGCCGCGCCAAGGCCCCCGGACCTCGTGCGCTCATCTCCGCTGTGCTGGACACCGGGTCCCCCAGGCCACCGCTGCCGCCCCTCCCCCGGGACTCGAAGGAATCCGGACTTGCCCCACCGTGGAGCGAGCCGACTGCCGGGCTAAGGCTGAGCGGATTCTGCGGTCGCTCCGGACGCCGCCCGGACCGGAGCGCGGACATTCTGGGTCCCGGCTGAGTGCACCCGGGACGCCTGGCAGTGCCAGCTCGGGAAGGGCAAGGCAAGCCAGGGGCAGGACAGACCCCGGAGGGGCCCAGACACGCCGAACTGGACTGGACAGAGAGAATCGCGAACCCTGCGGAGCCCGGGGAATGCCGGGCGTGGGCTGAGGGGATCCCGGCGCCCTCCCCAGCCTTCCGACTTTGGTTCAGTCGCCCGGTCCGGACCGGCGTCGCTTCGGCCCGGGTCACCTGTGGCCTCGGGGCCCCTGAGCCCTCCGGACCCTCGCGACCCGGAGCCTGGCGGGCGTGGTGGGAGATTGTTCCTGCCCCCTTCCCCGGTGCGCGGAGGCCCCGCCCCCTCCCACCGCCCAGATGTCTCCGGTCACCGCTCGGAGGACCTTCCTGAGGCCAAGAGCCGAAGGGTCCAGAGAGAGAAGCCCGCCCTAGGGGAGCCTTGGGGGCCCCCCAACCTCGTCTTGGGGCTCGGCCCCCGACGCTGCTTGGAGGAAAGGCCGGTGCCCCCACCCTCTGTGAGTAGGGGAGTCCAGCTTCAGAGGGAAGGCGGGGCTGGGGGAGGAAGGGTCCGCTGGGAAGGAGGGCTCCCTGTGGGTATTGGAAGAAGGATGGAGGACTGGAGAGGCCCTGTGCTGAACCAACCTGGCCAAGCTTGGTTGGGGGGGGGGGGGACAGCTAGAGTGCCCCAGAGGAGGCTGAGGACTTATGCCTCTAAACCAGGGGCTCCTCCACTCTCCCTATAGAAGAAGGGTGTGCTGAAAACCATCTGCCTCCACCACCCCTCCCCACAAACAAAAATAAATAAATAAATCTCCAGTGAGGAAGGAGGGTGCAGGCAGGGAGAAGAGGGAGGCAGCAGCAGCAGGCTGGTGCAGCAGCCTGGGAGGGCTGACGCCAGGCTCGCTCTTTCTGCAGGGGGCTGCCCTCCTCCAATCCAGGTCCCTCTCCAGCGCTGTTCACATCTGGAGCCCCCTCCACATCTGGAAGACCCTGACCACCGTCCCTCTGCAGGTTCGGCTGTTTCTAGAGACCTCTGCCTTTGTAACTGCCTAGGAGTTGCGAGGGGATTGCTGCCTTCCCCCATCCCAAGGGCATCTCTTACCCTAGTCCTTGCAGAATCATCCCCCTGCCTCCACACCCAGATTCAGGCAAAGATCAGCTCTGTACACCACAGGCGCTTCAAGTCCTGGAAGCTGTTCTTGGGCCCTAAGGCCCCTCCCCTTGCCCTCCTGTGTCCTCACCTTGACCCCCCCCCTCCCCCGTCAGACTCGGTCTCCCTCTGGGTGCTCCATCCCCCACCCAGAGGCAGAGTAGGTCGAGTAGCAGGCTGCAGGGGCTGGGTGAGGGCCGCCCAAGGCCAGGGTAGGCTGGGGGGCCGTTAAAATGTGGAGCTCTGCCCGGCCGAGGGGGGCTCCGTGGAGGCAGGCAAAGTGTGTGCCCCGCTGGGGCGAGTATGGGCAGGCTTGCGGCCACGTGGTGAAGGATGAACATTCGGGGTGCCCCGGACCTCGGGCAGCCCAGTGACGACCCCAACAGTGGTGGAGAGAGAGAACGGATTCGACAGCGCATGAAGATGGTCATCGGGCAACTTGAAGGCATCCTGAGGGAACTCAAAGAAGTGGCTAAGGAGCTGAGGGAGGTGAGTGAGAGGCCAGCAGGGGCCACATAAAACCCTAGCCCTGCCTGGCTGGGCTCAGCATCAAAACATTTATGTGTGTTTGAGTGTGCAAGGCTATGTGCACATGGCCTGCTCCACAGAGGACCACCCTTCTCATTTTCCTTCCTCAAGTCTGTTTTGTTAAAAAATCACTATCCCCAGAGCTGCTGGGGCCTTGGTGTTGTGGTGACTGCTTAAGCAGGTGCCGGTGGGCCCAGCTCTATAGTTAACACTCAGGGTGCCCAGTGAGGATTAAATCTGCCCCACTCCATTCTTAATGGGACACATTCTTCTGAAACCTAAGCGGTCCCTTGACCCCAATATTTACCCACCAGACTCTGGGCAGGGACTCTAGGAGAGTGTGGATGGCTCTGCTTAACCAGTCCCCACTGCTTGAGGCCCAGCTCAAAAAGTATCACTTCCAAACCTTTAATTTCCAAAAGGGGAGAGGGGTTTTAAACCGGTTGTGGCCTCGCTGTCCTAGAGTAGAATGTGGCTGGGAGCTCCTGGTGGGGATCGGAGGTCCTTCTGTACATTGAAGAGATGGGTCTTTTTAAGGATATGTGCCCCCCTTTCACAGGGCATGCTTCTGGATGGTTTTTGCAAAGACCAAAAAGTCACCGAGAAACCCTCTCTGGCTTTCTAATCGGAGCCCAGTTTAATTACAGCTTCCCACATTGCTGGAGTAATGAGGTACACATGTCTTCCACCCTGCCCCCTGGGCTGTGTTCAAGTCCAAAATGCATGACCAGCGTTCTGAGCCGCTGGCCTGAATTTGCCCGCTGGATCCCATTTCACCAGCCAGGTGGGCTTTAGGCAACTTCCAACTCCTTGTAACCAGGGCCCCTGCAGAGACAGAGGGAGAATGGATCATTCTGAGTTATGAACCCAAGCTCCCCTACCAGCTGTGTATCGGGGCCTGTAGGAGACTGAGGAGATGGGGCAGGCTGTGAACAATGTGGCTTTCCAGCCTGGCCTGAATTAAGGCAGGGAGAGGGGTTGTTTGAAGGGAGCTGTGAGTTGGAGGGTGACAGAGATCTCAGGCCTGTTAGAGTAGTACAGATGGGGGTCCAAGGTCTGCTACGTGCAAGCTGCCAGGAGATCCTGTCTTCAGAGGTGGGAATGATAGGCACTTCGGGCAGGCAGAGCTGGTGGAGCTTCTGCCCATATGCTAGGCTGCTATGGTCTGGACTCCATAATACAATTTGGAAGCCAAAGGCCACAGGTCCCTGAACAACCATTCCTCTGGCCTCATGAGTCCAAAGGATTAGGTATCCTCTCTTACTCTGTCTTAATTCTAGATGCTCTATGATTTTATTAGGGCCACAAGAACTGTCCAAAGTCTCAGCCTCAGGCAGGGACATGGGACCCCAACCAGAGCTGATATTGTCTATAATCCTGGGAGTCAGCTTTGGTACAACTCCCAGTGGGGCAGACCCCTGCCTCTTCTCCCTCACATAATCATCCAGAACTTGAAGAGATCTCACAGGTAGTCCAGGCAAACACTATCCACTTACTATTGAAGAAACTGGGGTCCGAAGAGGAATAGGGCCTTGCCCAAGGCTACATAACTCACCCATGACAGAATTGAGCCTAGAATTCAAGATTCCCGATGCCTATTTGAAGCTTCAGCAGGTGGGCTATTGTGTAACCTCAGCATTTGACAGGAGCTTCCAAGAGATGCCTGATGCTTGTGATGCGGTGCCCAAGTGCCAGGTTAATTTGTGGAACTTTTAATGCCCCCAATCTTCCCTTTTATACTCACTGATTCCTATGTCCCTCACCCCAGAGCTCCAGTTGATAGTCTGCACACACCAGAGGTCTGAACCAGGATTGAGTGATGAGTCCCCTCCCCCACATCTGTAGGCCATGTGTCTCCACCCAAGACTTTGGCAGGTTGCTATGGAAACCAGAGTCTACCCCGTATGCCACTGCCTGCCTGCTGCCAATGGTACCCAGCTGGGTGGGGGGTTGAGCCTCAGAGCTCCCTAGTCCCCCACAAAGGGGATGTGTACGTAAGGTAATGGGCAGAGAGGAAGGGAGACCCAAGCAGAAGAGCCGTCATACACAACTTTCTGTGGGC